CATCCGGAAAACCCTAGACACCGATCAATCCGAACTTCACTTCGCTCCCCACTCCGTCCACTCCACTTCCGATCCCCTTCCCTCTAATCCGATGTCCGGCGACGAAAGCAGCGGTAGCTCCGTTGCATAATCCGACAGCTCGAACATCGATGTGGAGCAGGTGGCCCTCCGCATCGCCTTGAGGAGGTCGATGCTCGAGCAAGGCGGCCTCGGCAGCGGCGGATCTTCTTCCTCAGCGCCCGTCACCCGTCGACGCGGCGTCGGGGACGTCGCCGGCCCTTCCCGCCCAGCGCGCAGCTCTGGTAGCTCCGCTTCGCTCCTTCAGGTACGCCGCCCACCTCCACCACCCTCTGGCCCGGAAGTGGTACCGGGCCACCGCTAGGTCCTCGTGCCCGCGCCGGGGCCGGCGCGCACGATGACGCCCGAGTCCGAGGCACGTGCAGCCCGGCACGAGCGGCGGCGGGTGAGGAACAGGGCAGCAGCGGGGGAGGCGTTGTCCGCATGCTAGTCAGACGCGAGCACGCTGGTCGATCCCGAGGCCGTGCTCCCCACGTCGGTCCTCCGTCGCTCTCTCATGACGGGGGAGACAATGTGCGGCGCCTCCGCTGCAAGAATGCCAAGGCGCTCCGACTCACCATCGAGTTGTCAGAGCACGAGGCAAACAAGAATGCGGCGGCGATGGCGAAGGTGGCACGTCATGCGAAGGAGCAGGACCGCCTGCTCCGCAGGCTGTCGGGCAAAAGGTGCAGCTCTGACTCCGAGTGACGGATGGCTCCACCTCCAGCTCTGAAGACGACGCACCTCCGCACGCCGATGCCTACATGGAGGTGGGGCACAGCCGTGCCGACGACCGGAAGGGGAAGGGGACGGCGAGGAAATTGTGATTTCCTCTGCCCTTCCATGTCCTTTTTATACATTATCTATGTTTTAAGTAGTTTGTAGTATGGATTTTGCATTGTCCGCCGTTGAACTCCGATGAACTATGCTTCTTTTGTCCGGTGATGAAATGTTGATCCGATTAACCGCGTGTTAATCATGTGTTTACATAGTGTTGCATGTGTTGCGTGGTTTTGAGGTCTCGGATACGAGAGACGCGGATGTGGAAGTAAAAATGCGAGGTGTGCCCGGTCAGTATCTGCGAACGCGCCCCGGGCGTTGGCCGACGTTTGAGGGCCTGGATTTGCTATGTGTTGGTGTAGATGCTCTAACACAATGGAATGGAACAAGCAGATGATACTGGGAGCCGTTGAGAAGAGACAAGTCAAGTACTACTCCTGACCTACATACGTGACCCAAGTGGTGGAGTAGCTTTCCCCTTTCTCTGGCAGCATGACTGTGCGTAGTCAAAATGCTCTGACAAACCGCCATCTTTGTGCCCTGATTGGGCCAGCCACTAATCAGCTCATGAGCACCCCCCTGATTTGTCAATGCTATATAAAACCTGGTGCTGCTGGCCCCTCCACTAAATTAGTGCCCCATTTTCTGAATAATAACCGCCATCACCCACAGCAGTAGCTAGCACCCCCGAGAATCGCAGCCAATTTTGGTAAATCTGGGCTCACCATTTCTTCACGACCTCGTGTGATATATACTGTCAAGCGAGGGCAAGGAAGGTGTGAGGACCGATGGATTAGGGTGTGTTCTCTGTCTTCGGTCGTCTTTGCTGCATCGCGTCGCACGTGTGCGCCTCTGCACGTACCACGACCAAATCATTGTCTCTTTTATGTATGTCCTTCAAACGCACCAACAGATTGTCCAAGCGCAACCGCCACATAATCTCGACCAGAGTTGAAGACAGTACAAGAATCACATGGTGTGGACTCCTGACCCAAGTACCACTATATATAATAGCAAAGGTTTTGTCTTGGAAACCATGAAAATTTAACCAAGTTATATCTGAAAACAAGGTTGACAACTTGAAATCTCTTTACACCTTTTTCTTTTGGCGAAACCTCTTTGCTTTCTGCCCATCTTTGTTTCTTTGTTTCCTACGGGTGTTTTTCTCTTGCACATATGAGTTTATCCACTGAATGGAAGGCACTCTTGGATGATGGCCACATGGATGGACACCACTTCAATTGATGTCAAGAGGCACTAGCAAAGTGTTATGCAAAACTGAATATTAATGGTGGGGGGCACGGTACAAGGTAAATCTCTAAAGCATATCAAGATGGAACTTGTCGATCGTTTCTAATATTCTACAAGGCGATTTCGTCTAGAGCTATGCTAAATCTAGGCATTTATCTGCACATGCCTATTAGGTGCTTGCCATATGCTGTCATTTTTATTGTGTACATAGTACCCCTTTTTTCATGAGATCAAGTGTACATAGTACTACCTTTGCAAGCAAAACTTCACAAGTAAGTGCAACAAGGCTTCGCCGCTTTATTTTGACAACGCAATGAGGCTAAACATGTACATATGTAGTGCTCCCTAAACCCATCATAGGCCCAAGAAAAATAGTTAAAAACGCATGAAATTCTCTTGCAAAAATATTATGATAGTAAACTAACAAACTTGATGTGCCTTTCCATGCATAGAGTTATTGTTATACATGATTGGTGCCGTGACAAGCTAACCACAAAATACTCTAAATTTAAATGCCTCTATAAAAAAGATATAATCATTGTTAAATGAATATACAGGAAGAGAATACATTTTGTATAACTGGCCCATGTTGCTTCTTGGATCATCTTAAGGTGGTAGACCAATAAGTTATTGCTCCTCGAATTTCTTACTATCTTAGTGCAAGTAAATATGTTATTTTTTAATTCTAGGAGAAAACCTAAATTACATGGTTCATTTACTCGTTATTGAGTTAATAACTCAACCTTTCCTAAAATGTGAAGGGTTGTAACCTTTTGGCACTCCATAGTTTTTAGTAACATACTGTAGTTTTTTTGCCAACATGACATTTATGACTTCTTTAACCTGATCTTCCTACCCAAGAAAGAACAACAATTGCAATCTTAGTTCAACACCGGGACCTTCAAAATATAGGGTTTTGAAGAGAGATGAAACGCACCAACAAAGAAAGCTACACCACTATTGACAACAACTGCCCGTGCTTATTTATACCCTTATTTATATGTGGTGCTTCCTGTTCAAGTTGATGACCCAAAAATGTTGAAACAACATCATAACCTCTTAGATAACTCCCCACCCACTAGGTTCATCCTCTTGACTCAATAATATTTCTAAATAAAGGCATACAATTCTTATTCGACAAGAAAACTATATACAACTTTAGCACTACTTTTTAAATAAAATTTATTGTTTCCTCCTCAAGCCAACATAATAATATGTGATATATATATATATATATATATATATATATATATATATATATATATATATATATATATATATATATATA